TCCTGCACTTCCCTCCCACCTGTTGCCCTGTGCCACCACTCCAATTCAGCCCCTATCCCAATCTATTCCTCCCCCACTAGCTCTTATGAACCTCTATCTGCCCCCCCAGCTAAACATGCTGTCTGTCTCCCCATAGTCCCTGCCTCCTGACCTGGCTCGACAGGCACTGTGAAGAAGGCAGGCTCTTTCTCTTCTCTATATTGCTGGGAGCTGCTGCTCTATTCTATTGCTAGAGTGCCCTATGGCAGGCGAAAGGCGGAACTGCTGAAGTTATTTTCTGCCTGGAGCTGCTGTGCTATTCTAGTGCCACAGCACCATCTGGTGGGGAAAAGGTAGATTGCTGCCACACCACCCCCAGCTCTGCTTCACTCCCTGCGGGGGGCTGGCATCTGCACTCACCTCCCCCGAACATTCCTCTGATCCCAATTTCCCAAGTTTTATGACAGAGGTGGACATCAAAAGAGGGTGGAAACCCCGAAGTTCCCAAGGGGGGGGGACTCCCCCTTCGGGTTTTTTGGCACCGGGGATTTATTGGGGATTTTTGGGGGGGGGGTGGAATTGGGGCCCCTCCCCTTTTTTTTTTTTTTTTGTCCCGTTTGCTCTTGCCAACTGATCAGGTCAGGAAGACTGAAAGGGACAAATGACTCCTTTTGAAATAAAAAAGTCGAGTTGGCTGGGACAGGCTTAAAAAAGGGACTGTTCCAGCCAAAATGGGAGGTATGGTGACACTACCATAGAAAAACATAAGAATGGTCATACTGGGTCAGATCAAAGATCCATTCAACCCAGTATGCTGTCTTCCAACAGTGGCAAATGACACATGTCCTAGAGACAATAAACAGACAGACAATCATCAAGTCATCCATCCCATCACCCATTCTCAGCTTCCATCAAACAGAGGCTAGGGACACCATCCCTGCTAATCCTCGCTAATAGACATTGATGGACCTAAACTCCATGAATTTATGTAGTTCTTTTTTTAACCCTCTTATAGTCTTGGCCTTCACAACATCCTCTGTCAAGGAGTTTCACAGGTTGACTGGGCACTGTGTGAAGAAATACTTCCTTTTATTTGTACTAAACCTGTTGCCTATTAATTTCATTTGGTGACCCCTACTTCTCGTGTTGTGAGAAGGAGTAAATAACATTTCCTTATTTACTTTCTCCATACCAGTCATGATTTTATAGACTTCTATCATATCCCTCCTTAGTCATCTCTTTTTCAGGCTGAAAAGTCCCAGTCTTATTAATATCTCCTCATATGGAAGCTGTTCCATACCCCTAATCCTTGTTGTTACCCTTTTCTGAACCTTTTCCAATCCCAGTATATCTTCTTTGAGATGGAGTGACCACATCTGCATGCAGTACTCAAGATGTGGGCGTACCATGGATTTATTTAGAGGCAATATGATATTTTCGGTCTTATTATCCATCCCTTAATTAATGATTCGAAATATTTTGTTCACTTTTCTGACTGCCACTGCATATTGAGTGGATGTTTTCAGAGAACTATCCACAGTGAATCCAAGATATCTTTCTTGAGTGGTAAAAGCTAATTTAGACCCCATCATTTGATATGTATAGTTGAGATTGTGTTTTCCAACGTGCATTACTTTGCATTTATCAGAATTGAATTTCATCAACCATTTTGCTGCCCAGTCACCCAGTTTTGAAAGATCTTTTTGCATCGCCTCACAGTCTGCCTGGGACTTACCTACCTTGAGTAGTTTTGTATCATCTGCAAATTTTTCCACCTCACTGTTTACCCCTTTTTACAGATCATTTATGAATATGTTAAATAGGACTGGGCCCAGTACAGACTCCTGGGCAACACCACTATTTATCTTTCTGCATTCTGAAAACTGATCATATATTCCTACTCTTTGTTTCCTATCTTTCAACCAGTTACCAATCCATGAGAGAACCTTCCCTTCCTGTAGAGGCTCCCCTTCTCCCAAAAACTTCCCCATTCCCTAATAAATCTAAACCTTCCTCCCTACACCACCATCTCATCCATGCTTTGAGACCCTGCAGTTCTGCCTGCACATGGAACTGGAAATGTTTCAGAGAACACTACCACAGGGGTCCTGGACTTCAATCTTTTGCCTAGCAGCCTAAATTTGGCCTCCAGGATGTCTCTCCTATCCTTCCCTATGTCATTGGTACCTACATGTACCCCAGCACTACACTACATATAAGCCTATCTAGATGTCTCGAGAGATCTGCAACCTGCACACCAGGTAGGCAAGTCACCACGCGGTTCTCCCAGTTATTGCAAACCCAGCTATCTATGTTTCTAATGATCAAATTTCCTCTAACTATTACCTGTCTCTTCCTAATAACCGTAGTTCCCTTACCTGGAGAGGTATCCTCAATGTGAGAGGATTCCACAGCTTCATCTGGAAGGAGGGTCCCAACTATGGGATTATTTCCCTCTGCTCCAGTTGGATGTTCTCCTTCCCTTTGGCTTTTATCCTCCTCAACAGCACAGAGGCTCTCAGAACATTTTACTGTGTTCTAGAAAGTCTCATCTCTGTACCTCTCTGTTTCCTTTAGCTCTTCCAGCTCAGCCACTCTGGTCTCCAAAGCCCATACACGCTCGCTGAGGGCCAGGATACCCTTGCACCAAATGCACACATATGCACCTCACCCTTAGGGCAGGTAATATAATACATGCTGCATTGGGTGCAATAAACTGGATAGCCTCTACTCTGTTCCTGGACTTCTGCCTGCATTCTCTTTCTACTCCTTCAGCTGGTTCCTTTGTTGTTGTTTTGTTTCTATGAAGGGGTGATTTTTAACTTCAGTTTAAAGAAGTTTAAGGAATGTTAAAAGAACAAGGAGTCCTGTTGCACCTATAAAATCAGTTGCGAAACTCCCGTTTCGCAGGAACAGCTGCTCCTGTTCACTAGCTCCTCTGCTTGTTTAGGAGTGGGCTTTTTAAAGCCCTGGTCTTCCTGAGTAGCCCCACCTCCTAGTTAAGGCTTGATGGGTGCTAAAGGGATTAGGGATCACAGCCTCGTTAAGAAGCTCTCAGATCTCAATCTTGTCTAGCAGGCCCCTAGGCTCAGCATCCACACCATCAGCACATGATTCCCCAAACAAACAAACCACATGATGGATTTGAGTCCAGCAGCAAACACACACACACACACACAACAAACTTACCCCAAGTGTCATGTAATCACTCCTCCTTCACCTGGGGCAGGATCATAGAATCATAGAATCATAGAATATAAGGGTTGGAAGGGACCCCAGAAGGTCATCTAGTCCAACCCCCTGCTCAAAGCAGGACCAATTCCCAGTTAAATCATCCCAGCCAGGGCTTTGTCAAGCCTGACCTTAAAAACCTCTAAGGAAGGAGATTCTACCACCTCCCTAGGTAACGCATTCCAGTGTTTCACCACCCTCATAGTGAAAAAGTTTTTCCTAATATCCAATCTAAACCTCCCCCACTGCAGCTTGAGACCATTACTCCTCGTACTGTCATCTGATACCATTGAGAACAGTCTAGAGCCATCCTCTTTGGAACCCCCTTTCAGGTAGTTGAAAACAGCTATCAAATCCCCCCTCATTCTTCTCTTCTGCAGGCTAAACAATCCCAGCTCCCTCAGCCTCTCCTCATAACTCATGTGTTCCAGACCCCTAATCATTTTTGTTGCCCTTCGCTGGACTCTCTCCAATTTATCCACATCCTTCTTGAAGTGTGGGGCCCAAAACTGGACACAGTACTCCAGATGAGGCCTCACCAATGTCGAATAGAGGGGAACGATCACGTCCCTCGATCTGCTCGCTATGCCCCTACTTATACATCCCAAAATGCCATTGGCCTTCTTGGCAACAAGGGCACACTGCTGACTCATATCCAGCTTCTCGTCCATGGATGAGGACCAGGATGAGGGTCTGGGGCTCCATACAGTGTCTCTGGCTCCCTGGGCAGCTCTTACAACATCCGGTCTCTGGTGTTGGGCCTGGAAAGGGGGTGGAGCCTTAGGTAAAGAGGAAGAGCAGTGGTGAGGCTTGCAGGAAGGGATGGGGCAGAGGGGGAAGAAGAGGAGCAGGGACTGGGTCATTGGGGGGATGTGGCTCCTGCATATGTTCTGCTTTTGCCTTTTTAAAAGGTAGTCACCCCACACTGAATGGGCTGACCTAGGACAGGAGATGGCGGTGACTGTGGGGGAGCTGAGGCCAGTTTTCACCACTTTGCACTGCTGGGGAAGCAGAAATGGAGCAGACAGGGATGGAGTCTGGGCCTGAGTCTCTTTCCAGGACTCCTGTGTGTCAGACCCTCACTCACACACACAGCTCTGCCCTGTTCAGTAGGTGTGCTGTGTGCAGAGCCATCAATGGGGGTGGGGGAAGCTGCCTGAATGGCTTCTCCTGAACTCCTGTGTTAATTATGTTTCTGACAGGACACAGTCAAAATGTCCTGGCTGAGTGTGTGGGGGAAGGGGGGGTGTCCGTGCCCCTTGAATAGCCCCTGTCCAGAGCTGGTGCAGCCCCATGGATCACGCAGCACCCAGAGCGCTCAGGAAGGGTGAGCACTGTGACTGAAGAACAGCCCTGCAGCTTTCTTCATGGCCCCTCAATGTTTAACCAGAGATGGGACAGGGACAGGTCAGGTGTAACAGGAAACAACATCCACGTTCCTTCTCTTTATTGACTGTATTGACAGATATTCTGAGGTCAAAGCAGCCACTGATATGGCTATTTATGGGCCAAGAACCTACCGGTGCCCTGGATTTCCATGAACACAGTCACTAGGTGAATGCTGCTGCCTGCCATTGTCTCCTTCTCCAAGTGCCCTGTCCTCACTCCCCAGCTGGTGAGGACAGCCCCTATTCCATTGCTCCAAGCCTTAGATCCCATCAGAAGCTTTCTCTATTGAATGGAGATGAATAGCTCATTGGTCCTGGATGTAAGGGTCCATAATGTAATAGGTGGAGCATTTTTTAATCTCCCATGTCACAGGCGCTGTAGCCAGGTGATGAACTGACCCTTCACTTGATGAACAACCTGATTATCCTCCCACAAAGATGTTTGCTTTTCACGCTGTACACGATTGGGTTCATCAGGAGTGGGACCAGCAGGTAGACATATCTGAAGCACAGACAGGACAATCTGAAGCAAGTCAGAAGAACTATTCCCTAATCTGTAAAAAGAAAAGGAGTACTTGTGGCACCATAGAGACTAACCAGTTTATTTGAGCATGAGCTTTCATGAGCTACAGCTCACTCTTATGTGCAGACAAACTTATCTCTGGTATATAGAAGAGCAAGACAACACAGAGGTGGGAAACACAGGTTTTCAGGGCTCTGAGACACTCCACCTTCGATGCAATGCTCAACACTGTTTTGAAGATCATCACATAAGAGAAGAAGATGAGCAGCGAATCCAACCCCATCGTTAAGAGTGAACCAGACAAGTCACAGATGCTGTTGACTGTGATGTCTGAACAAGCCATCTTCATGACCTCCTGGTGCAGGCAGTAGGAATGGGAGAGGACATTGACTCTACAGTATTGGTACCGTTTCAGGAGAAGGGGGAGTGGGATTACTATGGCTACTCCTCTTGGCTATTCTCAGCAGGGTTAAGATGGAGGCATATCTCAGTGGGTTACAGATCGCAACAAAGTGGTCAAAGGCCATCAACAAGAGCATGGAGGATTCAATGCATTGAAGCAAGTGGATGAAGAACAACTGGGCAAAACAGGCATGGAGGCTGATCTCTATTGAGTTGAACAAGAATGTGCCCAATATCGTCGGTCTGGTGGCTATCAATAAGCCAAGGTCTGTGATGGCCAACATGGAAAGGAAAATGTACATGGGATCATGGAGGCTTGGATCTATTTTTATAATGAACAGAATGACTGAATTTCCTACTATTGAAATAACATACATTAAGCAGAAGGGGATAGAGATCCACAGATAGACGTCTTCCTGCCCAGGTATACCAGTGAGAAGGAACACTGCATAGTTGAAGTTGGTGTCATTGAGAGCTGACATAATGTACTGGGGAGGTCTGAGAAGTGTTGAACTTTCTTTCCTAAAAGGAAAAAGAACAGGAGACTAGATGATATTTAACTAGACATCATTCTGCTCGGAGTTGAAGTCTAGACACTCTCAGGAGTTCAAGGTAGATCAGCAAAAACATAGTAATGGATTTACAGCAATAGGAAGATAGGCACTGCCAGACTGGATCAGACCTGCAGTCCATTTAGCCCAGTGGCCAGTTCCAGATGCTGCAGAGGAAGGTTCAAGAAGCCCTGAAATAGGTAGCTATGAGATAACCTGCTCCCAGGGAATGTTTCCCGCCTGACACCCAGTAGTTAGACATATTTTGTGGTATAAATGAGGAAAGCTTAGAACCCTTACAAACCTCTTTTTAAAATCCTCATTATTGTAATTGGATTTTCTGGTTAACCATATAAACATCCCGTCCCTCTTTGAATCTTGCTAAGTTTTGGCCCCATTGATATCTTGTGCCTGGGAGTTCCACAGCCTAATGTGCATTGTGTGATTTTAGAGTTCTGACCTTCCCAAAGACATCCTTTTCTGGCCCTTCCCTTTGGAATGTGGCCCATTTTATCATGATCCATGATATATGTATAAACACATGGCAATTGCATGGTTATGAAAGGTCATTGTATGTATATGTCCTGCTTTGAAGATATTTACAAATGTGTTTCATTGCCTCATTATATGTATTTTTTTAAAACTGTTCTCCACTTCTGAGAGTCCCAGTTATGTCAGTTCCTTTTTGCACTACATAGGATAAATTCTTAGGCGTATGTTCTGGATTCAATAACATTGACTTCAACTGCGTCACTCCAGATTTACATGTGTAAATTCGATCAGAACTGGGCTATATTAACTTTCCCTTAAAAATGCTCCCAGTGATACACTCTGACCCCAAGAGTCCCTATAAGAGAACCTGAAGTGCTTTGCCTGGCAAATGTTGACTGAATTCACAGAGTTCAATCACCCAACGAGTTTCTCTTCATCGTCACAGGACTTGCATCCTCTCCCCATCCAAGGTTCTGTAGATATCTGCAAAGTTACAAGCTAACACAGACAGTTACTTCAGCTGTGCAGGGGCAGGGTTGGCCTTCCACATGGATGAATACTGCAAACACTAGGTTTTCACTAGTATCCATTTGAGTGTGCAAGTTACTTCAGCCATGTGCGTGTAACAGGTGGTGGGCAAAAATTATATACAACCACTATAGCATTCCCCTTTCCTGGATCTCAGCTCGACTCTTTGCTGAAACACAGACCAGCAGTTCTGATCTCTCAGGACTTTTTGGAAAGTCTCACACAGGTATTGAACAGGGATTTTGTTCATGTCCCTGAATGTAAGTGTTACAAAGAACTTCTGATCAGTTACCAGGAGACAATATCATACAACTGTTCACTGAACAAAGAGTTAACACACAAATCCGTTCCAAACAGTATGTGGAGTACTTCTAAAATGCTTTCTAAAACAATACCAATTAAGCAGTAAAGTTACCACTGCTCCTTCCTGTAGAGATTCCAACAACTCTGCCATTGGCTTTCAATATACATCCTGTCATGAAAATTTGGTTTCTAATATTTATATAACAATGAAAAGTTTTGGCATAACATTTACACAAAAGCCATTCCACAGGGATCATTTCCAGGTCCAGTTCTGTTCAATATCTTCACCAATGATTTAGATAATGGCATACAGAGTACACTTATAAAGTTTGCAGATGATACAAACCTGGGAAGGGTTGCAAGTGCTTTGGAGGATAGGATTATAATTCAAAATGATCTGGACAAACTGGAGAAACGATTTTAAGTAAATAGATGAAATTCATTAAAGACAAATACAAAGTACTCCATTTAAGAATCAACAATCAGTTGCACACATACAAAATGGGAAATGACTTCCTAGGATGGAGTACTGCAGAAAGGGATTTAAGTGTCATAGTGGGCCACATGCTAAATATGAGTCAGCAGTGTAAAGCTCTTGCAAAAACAGCAAAAATCATTCTCAGATGCATTAGCAGGAGTGTTGAAAGCAAGACACAAGAAGTAATTCTTCCGCTCTACTCTGCTCTGATTCAGTCACAACTGGAGTATTGTGCCCAGTTCTGGCCGCTACATTTCAGAAAAGATGTGGACAAACTGGAGAAAGTCCAGAGAAGAGCAACAAAAATGATTAAAGGTCTAGCAAACATGACCCATGAGGGAAGATTGAAAGAAATGGGTTTTAGTCTGGAAAAGAGAAGACTGAGAGGGGACACGATAATAGTTTTCAAATACATAAACGTTGTTACAAGGAAGGGGAGAAAAAATTATTCTCCCTAACCTCTGAGGATAGGAGAAGAAGCAGTGGGCTTAAATTGAAGCAAGGGAGGTTTAGTTTGGACATTAGGAGAAAGTTCCTAACTGTCAGGGTGGTTAAGCACTGGAATAAATTGCCTAGACATGTTGTAGAATCTCCATCATTAGAGATTTTTAAGAGCCGGTTAGACAAACACCTGTCAGGGATGGTCTAGATGGTGTTTGGCCCTGCCATGAGTGCAGGGGACTGGACTTGATGGCCTCTCGAGGTGACTTCCAGTTCTACATTTCTATGATTCTATGATTAAGTAGTAAAGTTACCACTGCTCCTTCCTGTACAGAGATTCCAACAACTCTGCTGCTGGCTTTCACTATACATGCCATGTCATCAAAGTTTGGTTTCTAATGTTTGGGTTACAATGAAACATGTTGGCCTAACCTTTACACATTTGCACTTTAGTACACACATGTCAACCCATTCTTTCCCCTCTCATCTACTTTCAGAGATAATTTCTCATTTTAGAGCTGGACTTAAACTGTAGCATCTGTCATCTGGATTTCTTCAGACCCTGAAAAGATCACAGCGTTTCAGCCTTCATTCAATCACTTGTCAGCAAACAAAAGTCTAGTATTCCTCTCTCCCTGGGGTAATAGCTGACTGGTTCTCCTCAGGTTCTGGTATTGTGACAGACAAAGCTGAGCTGACAAAATGAATGCGTGAGTGTCAAGGTTCCTTCCCCACTCTGAACTCTAGGGTACAGATGTGGGGACCTGCATGAAAACCTCCTAAGCTTACTTTTACCAGCTTAGGTTAAAACTTCCCCAAGGTACAAATTATTTTACCCTTTGCCCTTGGATTTCCACTGACACCACCAAACTTTATCTGGGTTCCTGAAAAAATGGAGTTTGGACATGTCTTTCCCCCCAAAATCCTCCCCACTTCCTGGGGAAGGTTTGGTAAAAATCCTCACCAATTTGCATAGGTGACCACAGACCCAAACCCTTGGATCTTAGATCAATGAAAAAGCATTCAGCTTCCTTACAAGAAGACTTTTAATAGAAGTAAAAAGAAAAGAATCACCTCTGTAAAATCAGGACGGTAGATACCTTACAGGGTAATTAGATTCAAAACATAGAAAATCCCTCTAGGCAAAACCTTAAGTTACAAAAAAGACACACAGACAGGAATATTCATTCTATTCAGCACACCTATTTTCTCAGTCATTTCAAGAAATCATAATCTAACACATACCTAGCTAGATTACTTACTAAGTTCTAAGACTCCATTCCTGTTCTGTCTCCGACAAAAGCATCACCAGACAGACACAGACCCTTTGTTTCTCTCCCTCCTCCCAGCTTTTGAAAGTATCTTGTCTCCTCATTGGTCATTTTGGTCAGGTGCCAGTGAGGTTACCTTTAGCTTCTTAACCCTTTACAGGTGAGAGGATTTTTCCTCTGGCCAGGAGGGATTTTAAAGGGGTTTACCCTTCCCTTTATATTTATGACAGAGTGTTAAACCCAATTCTTGGGATGTTTCCTGTAGAGCTATAGTGGGCTATTTTTTGGGATGTTTATCTTATGGCTATATTATGTTAAACCAGTTCAGCTTCTCTTAGTTTAATAGCAGGCTGTTAGAAAACAAGCAGGAAGGGAAGCAACAGATCCAGAAAAGCCATTGTTCAGAAACAAGGCAGTTGAGAGACAACACCAGAGCTATGAGCTGGGAATAGCCTATTTTGGGGCTCCAGCCACATTACACAGCTTGTATTATCCTGAGAAGCTCTTCAGACTGACAGGGACCAACAGCAGTAGGGAAGTCTGCCTGTGTCCCCCGTCAGAATGGGAGGGCTTGGGGTAAGAGACAAGGTCAGACTGTTGTTTGAAAACCCTTTAATTCTCCCATGTTACACTTTATTTCTTGTGTTCAGACTAAACAGTGTTTTGGCTCTAGAAGGCTGGCTGGTCACTCATCTCACCACTACTCACAGACTCCCAAAGGGAAGAACCACAGGTGCCGAACCCACTCAGCAAGCACAGTTCACCCACAGTGTGCTGTAGCCCAGGGCCTAGTCTGAGGGTGGGAGGATCGTGGGATTCCACCCCTAGGAGAGGGCAGGGTCTGAGGTCTGACATCTGGCACTCAGAGACCAGAACGGGGGTCGAGATACCAGGAGCCCCATAACTCTGAGGGGTATCTATAGGCTAGAAGTGCTGGAGCCCTCAGCCAGTCAGGAAACAAAAATATGCCCTATCAGACCTGTTACCACAGAGCAACATAACTGATTGTTCTGCCTTAACAATTGAGCCAGAGAATAAAAGCTTTGAAAATGCATTTGCTGATTAAATTTCCAGGAGGAAATAAACAGGAGGTGATTTGGGAAGGAGTCACTGATATTCCAGGGGGGTCTCTTCTCACTCATCTGCTCGTAGGATAGGGCCCAGAGCACACAGCACCTCTCGAAATGAGAGCCCTTGAGAAATTCTGACACAGGGCACTGGAGTTTTAACACTCTGAGCTTGCTTTGAATGTCACATTTCTGTGTTGCTTGCACGGCTCATCATGGAGCATGGGAAGATGTAGAGGGGAAGGGCTCCTAAGCTACCTACTGCTGCCTGCCCTCCAGCCCCATTACAGAGTTACCGCGACAGCCCACCTGTGTCCTCTGCCACTCCACAGAACAGTGGCAAATGGAAACAGCTTGCAGACTTTTCCCTGCAAGTTTGCATTTTAAAGAGAGTGAAACCTGCCAACGTACCGAATTTCTGCTAGAAGGGAGCCGCTGACACCAGAGGTCTTCACCCTAAAGGACAAGGAGTCATCAGAGAGGTTACACGAGCAGCAGCATTTGTTGAGATAGGGATTTTGATGGTAACTTATCATATGATGAAAAGAATGTTTGCACATTCCCAGCTTTCCCAAAAGTGGGTATAAAAATCCCAAAAATGGGGGATGTTGTTTATTGGGATATTATTGTGTGGGGTATTTTTATTGTTTTTGGGTTATGTGGCTCAGTGTCACTAGCTTTAACCCCCATCTTTTACTGGCCAATGAGCAAACTGCAGAGGAGAGTGTTTTTGTGTGTTGGGGGTGGGGGGGGGAGAAATGGGTTTGTGGGGCCTTAAATCATGCACATTGTAGGGAGAGTGGTCATTTGAGAGGGTGGGGGGGGGGGGGGGGGGGAGAACCTGGATTTGTGAAACCTACCCCAGCCTGATTACTTAGACAGCAACCAGCATGACAGGGGGTTATATTTTTGGATAAAGGCTCTATTTCCTGGGATCCAGGGCTTGGTACAGACTAACAAGTATCAACCTGTTTGCATGAGATCTGCATTAGTCACATGGCACTCAACAAATCAAGGAGACGCTTGGACCTTTTATTCCTGGTCCAGGCTTGTCGTCACTGTACGATTAGTCACAGCTAGGTGATCTAGTTGCCGAAATAAAATTAATAAATAAGTAAATTAATAATAAAAATATTATTAATAAAGGACCAGATTTTTCCCCAGTAGCCCCCTGACCTGTATTACAAACCCAAGGTGCAGGCCAGGGAAGGGAGATTCCACAACCCTCCCTACATGGAAATTTCCCTTGGATCGTTCCAGGAAGGGGGTCCCTTCCCTGCTCCCAAGGAATGAAAAGGGGGACCCAGGATCAAGGGATCCCCAAAGTTACGCAAAGATCTTGGTGATCCACTGGTAGCTAGGCCCCCCCACCCACAATCTCTGGGCCTCCACAACTGCTCTAGGACCCTCTCCAGCTCCCTCTAGCACAGGCTCATCAGAGATGTGCTACCAGGGCCTGTCACAGTAGCCACTGCCCGCAGGATGTGCTGAAGGCACATTGTACAGTGTGGAGGGGGCAACACATAGATGGGAAGGCTGGTTAGAGTAGTTAATGAGCACAATAACCCACCTGCAGACGGTCAGGAGGTTTCGAGACTCCAGAGTCAGAGACTCCATCAGTTCAACCATCATTTACATTCTGAGGATGAGGCAGATGAAAAGCCTCCAATTTCTCTTGGGGATCCAGGCACCTGGAAGCTGAGCTTTCAGAGAACAATGTTCCATTTCCTATGAAAAGTAACCCCCAAAAAGGATGCAAAGGAAACATTTTAGTTTGGGTCAAAACGTTGTGTGTTTTCCAGCCCAGCTCCAGCCACTAGCTGGCAGTAGCCCTCCATCAGCCTCCCACACTGAGCAGCCCCTTAGGGTGACTATAATTCCCAAAGAGAAAACAGGAGACCCCCAGATGATCGCATTAAGCCTCCCACCCCCATGAGATGCTGTTGCCTATTGCTGTAACTCTGTAGGGGCCCCCTCAGGATTTCAGGAGGCTGTTTCCTCCCCAACACCTCTGCCTCATCCCTTGCAGGTGGCTGGCATCTCCACTCACCTCCGCCGAACATTCCTCCACTCTCCACTTCCCCACTTCTTTGACAGAAGTGGGCATATCTCCTCTTTGCTGTTCCCAGCTGATCATGTCAGCAAGAGGCAAAGAGGACAAATGCCTCCTTCCGGAAAAAAAAAAGTCTCACACAGGACTTAAAAAAGGGACTGTCCTGGCCCAAAAAGATACGTATTGAAACTATATGTATTGGCACCCTACCATGGATGATGGCCACACAAGCCCTATAATGGAGCGAGCCCCTGGAAAAGGCTTGTCTGAATCAAACCATCCATCAGAGGAACAGATTCAGAACATAAGAATGACCATATGGATTCAGACCAATGGTCCATCTAGCCCAGTGTCCTGTCTTCTGACAATGGCCAGTGAAGATGCTTCAGAGGCAATTAACAGAACAGCACAATTGTTGAGTGTTTCATCCTCTGTCATCTGCTCCCATCCTCTGACAGTCAGTGGTTTACAGACAGCCAGAGCATGGGGTTTCGTCCTTCACTATCCTGGCTAATAGCCACTGATGAACCTCTCTCCCTTGATCTTACCTGGACCCAGTTATGCATTTGGCCTTCACAACGTCACCTAGCAATGAGTTCCACAGGCTGACTGTGCCTTGTGTGAAGAAATACTTCCTTTTGTTTCTTTTAAACCTGATGCTCATTAACTTCACGGGTGACCCCTGTGAAGGGGCAAATAGCTCTTCCTGAATCACTTCCTCCACATCAATCATGACTTTACAGACCTCTCTCATATCCCCTCTGAGTCATCTCATTTCCAAGCTGAAAATTCCCAGGCTTTTCCTCTCCTCATATGGAAGCTGTTCCCTGCCCCTAAAGATTTTTGTCACCTTTGTCTGTACATTTTCCAAGTCTAATATATCTTTTCTGAGATGGGGCGACCAGAACGACACAAAGTATTCAAGGTGTGGGCATACCACAGATTTAGATTTTCATATATTTCTGTCACTCTTCGGGGAGGCGAGCCCTCCGGCCCCTCTCCTTCTGCACGAGGCACACCCTACCCTGCACCCGGAATGCCAAGCCCCCCACCATCCTGGAGATGCCCAGAGCCTCCACAGCCCACGGGGATGGAGCCGCCCCCCACCCGCCCCAGCCGTGCCACTCCACCTCTCTTGAGACCTGAAGCCAACCTGGGGAAAAGCTGGTCTCATCCCAAAAATCCTGAGCTTGTTATTTTCACCTTGCAGGTTCCAGGGCAGCCGAGGAGAGGGTTGTGACACTGCCCGCATATTCATCACAGTAGTATCCTTGCGATATGTTTATGACGTAGTTCTGACATATCTTCTACAAAATATAGCCTGTGAGGTGTCTATGAAAAAGTTATGGTTTCCAGAATATGATGATCCTATTTGTGTGCATGTATCATTTTTATATCTGAACTTACGAATATAGACTATGTATCTATGTTCCAGATGTGGTTACACTGGCTTGACAACCACCAGGTAGAATGTTTCCATTGAAGACAGCTAGTTGTGAAGGGCCGGTTCAGGGTAGTGGGCCATTAGGGGATACAATAGGCCTTAAGAGAAGTTTATCCCTCACCAGGTGAGCCTTCCTGAAAATGTTCCAGACAGCCTATTTGTAATGGCTCCTATGACTCAGTCGGGCATGCAAGGGCATGTGAGATAAATGAAGTTTCTGTGTGTGGGTGGTGGGGGTAGCTCCCTTTTGGACTGGGAAATGCATCCTCCACCTTCCAGAAATTGCTACATAACCTTCTGGCTGGACTTGGAGAATTTGCAGTCACCTACCTTGATGATGTGGCTATATTCTCAGATTCATGGGGAATCACAGATGCCTCCGAGCATGGTGTAGGAGGAGTTTAAAAGCAATAAGGACCACATCAACAATTCCATCCTGTCGTGTTTCTCAGCAAAAGAACTTTCCGAGAGGCAAAGCCACTGGTCACTCTCCGAAAAAGAAGGTTACGCCATTGTGTATGCTCTGGAGAAGCTACGCCCATACATTTGGGGACTGCGCTTCCAACTGCAGATGACCATGCTGCGCTGAAGTGGCTTCACACAGTCAGAGAGACGAACAAAAATCATCTTCGCTGCAGTTTAGCTAGTCAACACTTTGATGTTGAGATACAACACATTTCAAGAGCCGCTAACAAAGTGGCTGATGCACTCTCCCGGGAAGGTTTCCCAGAATCAGCCGGATAAAAATGTCCCTGCATTCTAAGGCATTATACTCCTTCAAATGTAAAAGTACTGTTTAGTTCTTCATGTAATTATTAGTAAAATTAGCGGTGCATATAATTTATTAACTCTCTTTCCTAAACCTCCAGGAAGAAATCCCAGCCGGTCTGGACCTGACCTGAACCAGGCTGGCCAGCACTTTCTGTGATTTGGGGGGCATGAGATAAGTGAAGGTGTAGGGGGGGTAGCTCCCTTTTATGAACACCCAGACAGGCAGTTAGCTATAAAATCCCTCTTGGTGTCTGTTCTCTGTTTGCTTTACCTGTAAAGGGGTAACAAGCTAACAGGTAAAAGAAAAGGAGTGGGCACCTAACCAAAAGGGCCAATGGGAAGGCTAGAACTTTTCAAATTGGGAAAGAAACTTTCCATTTGTCTGTTGGTCTCTGGAGAAGGAGACAGGGACCAGCAATGCTGTAAGCAGCAATGCTGTGTAAGTCTTGAACCAGGTATAAAAATTCATCTTCCATACCTAGAAGAAATCATGGGACACGGCATGGTTAAAGAGACATGATTAGGTTTATTTCTTTGTTTTGGCTTTTGGAGCTCCTCTGTGCTAATCCCAGATGCTTTTGTTTGCTTGTAACCTTTAAGCTGAACCCCCACGAAAGCTATTTTGGGTGCTTAATTTTTGGAATTGCTCTTTACAAATCTGGCAAAAGCCTAAGTTCTGGATGTATTTTTCTTCCTCTTTGTTTTTAATAAAATTTTGCTTTTTTAAGAAGAGGACTGGATTTTTGGTGTTCTAAGAGGTTTGTGCACATGCTGTTTGATATAGCTGGTGGCAACAGCTACTTTCCTTTGTTTTCTTTTCCAGTTCTTCCCCGGGGAATGGGGGGGAGGACTTTTGCATCCCCCACAGAGAGGAATTCCCAAGTGCTCCTTCTTGGGTCCAAGTTGTTTTATGTTGGTTTTTGTTTTTTTTTTTTTTTTGCATTTGGGTGGTGTCAGGAATTACCAAGCTACGGTCAGAGAAAAGCTGTAACCTTGGGAGTTTACTACAAGCCTGGAGTGGCCAGTATTATTTTTTGGACTCCTTGTGGGCCACCACCTTCTGCACTCGGAGTGACAGAGTGGGGATTCACCTTGACAGCATGTGACCAGACCACATGACACTGACTCCATTGTGGTTACCTGTATTTTTCCACTATCTAAGCTGGGGAATAACACCATCTCTTGGCCTCACTCCCTACACAAGGGAACTCCTGCAAGCACCTGAGGAACAAGACTGAACGGGGGGAAGTGCCAGTGGTGGATATAAGCCTGGACAGGCTCAGCCTTCCTGGTGCTGCTGTGGCCACTCGCTGCCAGTTGCAGGGTTCGCACAGGGAACTATTTATTCTTCTGTGCCATGCAGGTTCCAGGGTAGCTGAGGAGGCAATATGTGCTACTCAGCTTCTTCAGGAATCTCGCTGCACTCCATGGAGATTACTGATGAAACCAGGAAGCTGAGAAACACAGAGCGCTGTGACAGGCTGTCACCCCCAGGGGGCAGTCTCGGTGCTGTGGGAACCCCTGTGCCGCTCATCCCGCCAGCATGGCTGGCCAATCGTACACTGCTTTGCTGGTGACAAAGACAGCCTCTTCAAGCCCTGTCATCACCCAACACAACGGTAGGTGGCGCCACACCCCCAATTGAGCGGCCTGAGTGCTTTAGTGAGCCACTCAAGGACAGGCTGGAGGCAACAGACAATTTCCCAACTCCCCAGCCCTTGCTCCCTTACTGGACTATAAACCCCAAATTATACCATTTTGCACGGCACAGGAGTACAACACAAGCTCATTAATCTAGGTGGCTTTCCCCTTGATGTGGGAAGGATATACGACAGCCTTTGTACACAGAGCTGGGATTTTCCCCAGACACTTTACTCAAAACACGCTGGTAAAGATAAAGCATAAAATAGTTTTATTACCTACAAAAAGATGGATTTTAAATGGATAGAAACACAGATTAAAGCACATTATCTAGCATATAAACAAAAATGGAAACTAAGCGTAACACACAAAATAAATTGGATATGAATGAACAATTTCTCACCCTGGGTGATGAAACAAGCAGTCCATCAAATTTTCAAACACAAGCTAGAAATCCTTTTAGCTTGGGATCAGCACTTCCCCCTGTTCAGACATTGTTCCTCAGCTGTTTCCAGGAGTTCTCTTGTGTGGGGAGTGAGGCCAAGAGATGGTGTCACTCCCCGTGTTATATAGCAGAAAAATACACCTACCAAAATGGAGTGAACTACATTTGAAATACAGATACATAGTCAAGATTTATAATTTCAGATGCAAAAATGATACAAGCACACAAATAGGACCATCATATTCTCCACATCATAGCTTTCCATAGTAAACACC